CTGCGCGATCCTCCAGAAGCAGCTGGAGCATCGCACAGGCGCTAGTACGCATGCGTGCACTGCGCGCGTGCACGGGACACCGCCGGCCCCGTTCCAACCGAACCCGTTGGAACGGGGCGAGAAACCCACCCCTGATGGACAGACTTCCTAACTACTACTTCCTAACTTCCTAACTTATTAAAAACTACCAGAATTGATTTGGAGATAAGCACTTTGGAAGAATAAATGCCTCTTGAAAGGATACAAAAAGTAATGATGAAGCCTTTGTTAAAGAAATCAAATTTAGATTGACTAGATTGAGATAATTATTTTCAGAAACATCAGATTTGGCAATTGAAGATGGAGTAGATATACCATTTACCATTTTGCTTGCTTGCTTACTTCTGATTCAAAAGAAAAGGTTATCTAGCAGAGGCAGCTACAATCAATTGAATCCGATGATTTATTTAGATAGCAGACAGATGACCTTTGACATGAGTTACCATTGATGGTATCCTTTGGGACAAGGAGAGAGAAGGAGTCCTTGGTCAAAGGAAAGGGTCCTTTTTTTCTCTTACTTCTTACAAAATACTTTTTCAAGTCAAGCCAACTAGAAATATAATTAGATAGTTGTGCCATGCCATGCCAAATATAATCCTGGTTGTACAGCATTTTCCTTGGGGCTCTTATCTGGGCCTAATACTTTTTTCCTTCTCTCAGATCAATAGATATCTTAACAACTCATGCTTTAAGTGTTCCCATTCTGTTTTCTAAATCTGTTCCAAAGAGATGTACTAAGCTAATTTAACTAGTGGTGAAAGGATGTAATATGGGCTTTTAGGTTCATAAATTTTGACTACCTAGAAAGTAATAGACCTACTATTCAGTTTAACTGCAGATTGCCTCTACAGTACGTTTAGCTATGATCTCACAGGCCCTGTTCCAAAAAAACCCTCTGTAAATGTGGAACTTTTTTCTTTAGGCTTTCCAGTGTGCTTATATCTCTGTATGTAAGATACTTCAGGGGAAAATAATTTGACATGATCTGAGGGTTAATTTCTACTTTAACTTTTGGAAGGTTTTGATATATTCACAGACAAAAATTATTGAGCCTTTAATTATATTTCTTATAAGGAGAAAGCAAAACATTGGTCTATTAAAATTAGTTCAGATCATGTGAAAAATGCCATACAGAATGTTCCTTATTAGAGATTCAAGGTAGGAATTGGTGAGCATACTGTAGTGAATGCTTCTTAAATAATGTTGCATATTATAGTTGTATTTGTGTGTTTAAATGGCAAGTATGAATTATATACAAATATAAATGTTCACAACATAGTAAAATTGTACTGTGTATTGATGAAATATGGGTGAAAATTGTAGAATGTTATCTGGCCTCCAAACAATTTTGACTGTGCATAGTTTTGTGTTTTGACCTTCCTCGTCCCACACCAACACACACTCCAAGCCAAAGATAAGTTACGGCATTTAATTAACAGATAGCCAGGCATATGGCAGCAAACCGGCACAGACAAGCTTGGGCAGCAATCCAGCACAGATAAGCCGTTACAGCAATCCAGCCT